CCCTATGTAAAAAAAAAAAAAAAAAAAAAAGATAAAAGAAAGAAAAAGATATTTTTGCATTTTGGAAAGAAATGGGACAATTTCTCACCTAAGATAGTAAAAGCGGTCCATAATTCAATAAAATGTACAGCTGGAGATTATGAAACACAAAGAAGAGTTTTGTTTTTACATGAGTGCATGAAAAATATTTGTAATAGAAGCAAAGACATACTAGAGAATCATGACATAACCTCAGAGACCATGAGGTGGGAAAGAATAAGCAGGCTTAAGAAACAGTTGTCAGAGGAGACTTGGCTTTATAAAGACAAGAGGAGAAGGAACATTTGGTGACAAGGTTCCTGATATAAAGGAGGCATTTATAATGGAGATTAGGTTATAACTGGCACAGAAATAAAGGTCAAGGAAATTTTCAGAAACCAGAAAGCATAGATTTTAAATGACAAGGTAAGGTAGGATGTGTAACTATATGTGTGTCTGTGTTGTGAGAGTACAGATGGGTGAAAAGACTTGTATTTTAATGGTGGTTAAGGATGCTCAGGATGAGAGGCAGAACTGTGTCAACTGCCCTTTAGATTTCAGGACAATTCAGTCTGAGATTCCAAATCCTTTTGAAAGCAATGAAGTGAATTTGCAAATTTCCAAAAAAAAAATGAGAATTTAATGTGACAGAAAATGTATTATACACAATGGTAAAATAATGGTTCAAAGTCCTCAAAATTAAAAGAGATATATAGGATGGATATAAACCAAAAAATAATTAGTTAACTCATGTCGTTTAAGAGATTATTTAAAATAACCTTTCCCGCACTTTGGGAGGCCGAGACAGGCGGATCACTAGGTCAGGAAATAGAGACCATCCTGGCTAACACGGTGAAATCCCGTCTCTACTAAAAAATACAAAAAACTAGCCGGGCTAGGTGGCGGGCGCCTGTGGTCCCAGCTACTCGGGAGGCTGAGGCAGGTGAATGGCGTAAACCCGGGAGGCGGAGCTTGCGGTGAGCTGAGATCCGGCCACTGCACTCCAGCCTGGGCGACAGAGCCAGACTCAGTCTCAAAAAAATAAAAAAAATAAAAAATAAAAATAAAACAACCTTTCCCGAAGGCTCAGGATATTAGTTAGGACTATGAATGAGCTTTAAAGACAGGCTGCCTAGATTTGAGTTTCAGTTTCATCTTTTTGCAAATATGGGTCTTAGGGAAGTTAATGAAACCTTATGTTGCTTCTTTAAGATGACTATAACAACAATAGTCATCTTGTAGAAGTATAAGACTTATACTTATAAGATGTATAGAAGTATAAGTCTCATACTTCTATAAGATGTATAGAAGTATAAGTACAGATGTATAGATTCTATAAATCTGATAGATTCTATAAATCTGTATGTTAGAATACATCCATGGATGTATAGAAGTATAAGTCTTATCCTTCAATATACAGATTTATAGAATCTATACATCTATGGATGTATAGAAGTATAGGTCTTATCCTTCAATAAGATGACTATAACACATCTGTAAGATGAATGTAGGAAGGCCAAGGTGGGCGGATCACAAGGTCAGGAGATCAAGACCATCCTGACCAACATGGTGAAACCCCTTCTCTACTAAAAACACAAAAAAATTAGCTGGGCATGGTGATGCATGCCTGTAATCCCAGCTACTTGAGAGGCTGAGGCAGGAGAATGGCTTGAACCAGGAAGTCAGACGTTTCAGTGAGCTGAGATTGCTCCACTGCACTACAGCCTGGCGACTAAGCAAGATTCCGTCTTAAAAAAAAAAAAAGACTATAACAACAATACTAACAAAATAAGAAATTTTATAATTATAAATTATTTAAAACAATTCTTGACAAATAGTAAATATAATTTGACAAAAGCGTTTGTTAAAACACACAAATGACACAATTTATTTATTCATTCCTCTACTGAAGGACATCTTGATTGCTCTCCACTTTTGACAATTTTGAATAAAGTTTATGCATTCATGTGCAGATTTTTGTGGGGACATTTTCAGCTCCTTTGGGTAAATATATAAAAACACAATTGCTGAATCATGTGGTAAGAGTATGTTTAGTTTTGCAAGAAAATCCCAAACTCTTCCAAAGTGTCTTGTACCATTTTACATTTCCAGCAGGAATGAATGACAGTTCCTGTTACTCCACATCCTTATCAGCATTTGGTATTGTCTGTGTTCTGGCTATTGGCCATTCTAATAGATGTGTTGTGGTAACTCATTGTTGTTTTAATTTGCATATGATGTAGAATATCTTTTCATATGTTTACTTGCTATCTCTATATCCTCTTTGGTGAGGTATCTGTTAAGGTCTTTGGCTCATTTTTTAATTTGTTTTTATTTTATTTTTGAGTTTTAAAAGTTCTCTGTATATTTTGGATAAGAATCTTTTATCAGATGTGTCTTTTACAAATATTTTCTTCTAGTCTGTTGCTTGTCTTCTCATTTTCTTTACATCTTTTGAAGAGCAAAATTTCTTAATTTTAATAAAATTCAGATCATCTATTATTTCTTTCATGAATTGTGCTTTGGGTATTGTATTTTAAAAGCTATCCCCATATCCAAGGACATCTAAATTTTCTTCTTTGATATCTTCTAGTGGTTTTCAAGTTTTGATTTTACACTTAGATATATGATCCAATTTTTGTGAAAATTGTTAGGTCTTAACCTTAAACCCAAAGGTACTGGTATTCAGAAGTGAGTCTTTGAGAGCTGGTAAGCCATGATAGCAAAGCCCTCATGGATGGGATTAGTGACCTTATAAAAGGGCTTGAGGGAGAGAGTTTGTCTCTTTTTTTTTTTTTTTTTGCATGTAGATGTCCAGTTGTTCCAGCACCATTTATTCAAAACATTATTTTTGCTCTGCTCCGTTGTATTGCCTTTTCTCCTTTGTTCAAGAACCAGTTGACTAAGAGCTCTCTTATCTGTTCCATTGGTCTATTTATCTAGTTCATAAATACCGCACTGCCTTGACTAAAGTCCCTTCATAGTAAGACTTGAAGTCAGGTAGTATCAGTCCTCCAAGTTTCTTCTCACTCAATATTGGATCAGCTATACTGTGTGTTTTCCCTCTCCATCTAAGCTTGGGAATCAGTTGGTCAATATCTAAAAATATTACTTACTGGAATTTTAAATGGAATTGCATTGAATCTGTAGATCAAATTTGGAAGAACTGACATCTTGGCCATATTGAATTGTCCTATCCATGAACATAAAATATTTCTCCTTTTATTTAGTTCTCTGATTTATTTTCTCCAATTTTTGTAGTTTTGTAGTTTTCCTCATATAGATCACATACATATTTATTCGATTTATACCTAAATATTTCATTTTGGGAGTTATATCTGTGGTACACTTAGATAATGGAATATTATTCAGTGCCAAAAAAAAAAAAATGAGCAATCAAGCTATAAAAAGACATGGAAGAACCTTATGATGGTTAATATCATGTGTCAACTTGACACACATTGTTCCTGGGTGTGTCTGTGAGGGTGTTGTCAAAGGAGATTAACATTTGAGTCAGTGAACTAGGAGAGTCAGACCCACCCTCAATCTGGGTGGGAACCATCTAATCAGCTGCCAGTGCAACTAGGATAAAAGCAGACAGAGAAATGTGGAAGGACTAGACTGGCTAAGTCTTCTGGCCTCCATCTTTCTCCCATACTGGATGCTTCCTGCCCTCAACATCGGACTCCAAGTTCTTCAGCTTTTGGACACTTGGGCCTACACCAGTGGTTTGCCAGGGGCTCTGGAGCCTTCAGCCACTCACTGAAGGTTGCACTGTCGGCTTTCCTACTTTTGAGGTTTTGGAACTCGGACTGGCTTCCTTGCTCGTCAGTTTGCAGATGGCCTATTGTGGGACTTGAACTCGTGATCATATGGGTCAATACTCCTTAATAAACTCTCCTTCGTGTATACATCTGTCCTATTAGTCCTGTCTCTTTAGAGAATCCTGACTAATACAAATCTTAAATGCATATTACTAAGTGAAAGAAACCGAGATGAAAATGCTGCATACTATATGATTCCAACAATATGACATTCTGGAGAATGTAAAACCATGGAAACAGTAAAAAGATTAGTGGTTGTGGTGGTTGGACAGTGGAGAGGAAAAATAGGCAGAGCACAGGTGATTTTTAGGGCAGATGACATAAATGATCTGTATGATATTATAATTGTAAATACATGTCATTATACATTTGTTCAAACCCATATAATGTACAACACTAATATTAAACCCTAATATAAGTTATGAACTTTGAATGTTCATGGTGTCAACAACAGTTCAATTGTCATCAATGTACCACTCTGGTGGCAGATGTTGATAATGAGGGAGGCCATACATGTATGGAGTCAAGGGATATGTGGGAAATCTATATACCTTCATCTCAATTTTGCTGGGAACTAAAATTGATGTAATAAATAAAGTATTTAATAATAATTTTAAAATAACATCCATACCACTATGGTTTGAATAGATGCATCTTTTTAAAATCCCTGTGTTAGAACTTAAACCCAAAGATGTTGGTATTCAGAAGTGAGCCTTTGATAGATGATGAAGCCATGATGGCAAAGCCCTCATGGATGGCACCAGTCCCCTTTTAAAGGGCCTGGGGAAGTGAGTTTGTTTCTTTTTGCCCTTCTGCCATTTGAGGACACAGTGTTCATCTCTTCTCCTCCAGATGACTCAGCAAGACAGTTCCATGTTGAAGTAGAAAGCAAGTTCTTTCCAGACACCAAATCTACCAAAACCTTGATCTTGAACTCTCCAGCCAATAGAACAATGAGAAAAAATTCTATTGTTTATGAATTATCTAGCCTAAGGTATATTTTTCTAGTTGCTCAAATGGACTGAGACATTTACCAACTGCTTGACTTTGGGTAAATTACATAAGCTCTATAAGTCCCAGTTCTCATATTTATGACATAAAAATAGAAAAATACGTGCCTCACAAAGTGTGATGATTAAATAAAGATTAAGTGGAGGCCCGGGCGCAACCACGGGCTCCCAGGCAGCCTCCGTCAACCGGACCCCGCCTCCCTCCTGATGCTGCTCGTGAACGCCGATCCGAGCCCGTGCGCAGCGGAGCGCGGGAGCTCGCGCTATTCCTGACCCCCGAGCCTGGGGCCGAGGCGAAGGAGGTGGAGGAGACCATCCAGGGCATGCTCCTCAGGCTGGAAGAGTTTTGCAGCCTGGCTGACCTGATCAGGAGTGATACGTCACAGATCCTGGAGGAAAACATCCCAGTCCTTAAGGCCAAACTGACAGAAATGCGTGGCATCTACGCCATAGTGGACCGGCTAGAGGCCTTCGTCAAGATGGTCGGACACCATGTCGCGTTCCTGGAAGCGGACGTACTTCAGACTGAGCGGGACCATGGGGCCTTCCCGCAGGCCCTGCGGAGGTGGCTGGGATCCGCAGGGCTCCCCTCCTTCAGGAACAAGTCGCCTACACCAGTACCCATGACGAATGAACTGCACACACTGTAAAGGACGGAGGACTATTTTCCTGCGGACGCCAGGGAGGCACAGCACCACCCCCGCACCTGCCCTCGGCCTTTGTGAGCTTTGTGGTCTTCCCATCAGGAATGCTGGAAAAGTGACATTGTGTACATGCTGCGGCTTGGGGGGTTTTTTCTTTGTATTGCTGTTTATTTTATATTTTAAAGATATTTTTTAAATGTCGAGATGGGCTCTCACTATGTTGTCCAGGCTGATCTCAAACTCCTGGGCTCAAGTGATCCACCTGCCTCGGCCTTCCGAAGTGGTGGGATCACGGGCAGCAGCCTCCGCGCCCAGGCTGCTGCCATTTTCAGATTTCCTCCCTGCCTCATGTGAGACTACAGGGTTTGGAGAAGCAGTTGGAACCCACGTGTGGTGCCTCCCACGTTGGCCTGCCTGGGGTTCTACAGGAGTTGAGGGGCCAGGCCTGGCCGAGGCTGATGGACAGCGGGGACTTTCCTTCTCTCCATGATGGCTTTGTAGCGGCTCCATGGTCCTCTCTGTGATGGGGTTTTGTACGGGGTGCGCTCTGCCACTGTGGTGGGTGAATGGGTGGATGGGTGGATGGGTGCTGGATGTGTTGCCTCTAGACCTCGGCGCCCACAGCCTTGAGGATCCTTCCAATAAAGGTGTCGAGAACTAAAAAAAAAAAAAAAAAAAAAAAAAAAAAAAAAGCACTTAATATATTAAATTACATATAGCGGTCAAAGGGTATTTTTTATTACCTGTTACTACCTGATATAGTTTGGATATTTGTCCTCACTCCCATCTCATTTTGAAATACAACCTCCAGTGCTGGGAGTGGGGCATGGTGAGCGGTGCTTTGATCATGGGGGTGGATCCCTCATGAATGTCTTGGGCCAACCCCTTGGTGATAAGCAAGCTCTTGCTCTGAGTTCACAGGAAATCGGGTTGTTTAAAAGTGTGTGATATCTCTCGCCCTGTCTCTTGCTGCTGCTTTCAACAAGTGATGTGCCTGTTGCCCTCACCTTCTGCCGTGATTGAAAGCTCCCTGGGCGTCACCAGAAGCCAAGCAGATGCCAGCACCATGCTTTCTATAAAGCCTACAGAATTGTGAGGTCAATTAAACCTCTTTTCTTTATAAATTACCCGGTCTCAGGTTTTTGTTTTGTTTTTGTTTTTGTTTTTGTTTTTTGAGACAGATGGAATCTTGCTCTGTCGCCCAGGCTGGAGTGCAGTGGTGCGATCTCAGCTCACTGCAAGCTCCGCCTCCCGGATTCACGCCATTCTCCTGCCTCAGCCTCACGAGTAGCTGGGACTACAGGCGCCCGCCACCGCACCCAGCTGATTTTTTTTTTCTGTATTTTTTAGTAGAGATGGGCTCTCCCCGTATTAGCCAGTATGGTCTTGACCTCCTGACCTCGTCATCCACTCTCCTGGGCCTCCCAAAGTGCTGGGATTACAGGCGTGAGCCACCGCGCCCAGCCTCAGGTTTTTCTTTATAGCAATGCAAGAATATCCTCATATAGTACCACTATAATAACAACTATTTATAAAAATCACCACAATTATTTTGAATTTAAGGTTTTTAGACTTCATAAAAAGCACAAATTATCTGGAAGGAATTGCTTAATTAATAAACTTTAAAAATATTTTGCAGTATTTTGTATTTTAATAAAACTTAAAGCTTCTTCCTCAGTTGATCATCTTTTCTCTTAAAAATTCCTCATCATATATTGATATCATAAACAAAAAAGCATATCTAAACATATGTTAAATATAAAATAAACAATAACAAGCATATTATTCTTAGCAGAAGCAGGATGCCATATTATTCTTAACAGAAAGTAGAAAAGAGAAATCAATTCTGTTGAAACAGGGAGAGGGACTTTGAACTATACAGACATTAAAAAGCTACTCAGGTGTGCAGAAGGAGGTTATACAATTCAATGAAACTAGGCACAGTATACATTTTGTACATAATGCATGCAAACGAAAATCAGAAGAAAATCAGTATTTATTTACTTTCTACCATGAGAATGTGTTGCTCTTGACCAACATGATTGTCTGCATTTTTCCAAAAGTTGAGTTTCTATAGGATATGCACTATGTCCTGAACACTCTTGTGTACTTATTACCTATCAAACTTCCTAAAATATAGGAGGCATTTAATAAATATTTGACAAATGCATGTATTCATAAAGAAATCAACAGAAATCTAAAAACAAATGACTACCTTATCCACAGGGAATGGAATGGATAGAGGAAGTGAACATCACACATTTTTAAATCAAGATTGTATGTTTGTTACAAACTAATCTGAAATATTTTGTAATTACTATTTCTAAGGCATTATTCATGAAGAAACTCTACTATTGAGTTGTCTTTCACCTCCTGTCTCTTTAATAAAAACTGAAGAACTGACCACAAGTTTGCTACTATTTATGATTTTTGTATTAGAAAACCATGGGGATTCCTTCTTCCCTTATGAGACCAAATTCTCAAACTATTTTTGCTACCCCATATGTAAATTTTACTTCCTCCAGTGTGCCTTGATGCATTTACAATGATAACACTGTCAGTCTCGTTTTCCCATTCTTTCATAACTGTCTGAGTACCTCCTCTAATATCTTCTGTTTGTTAGTCGTTGATAACTATCTGCCCCCACCCCTCATTTTTTTTTTTCCATCTGTAAAGTATCGATGTCTGCCTCGGAAGGCCTTTTTATACTTTCTGGGGTGTCAATTTTTGAATTCTGCAAAAGTAATTAAGATTTCCCCTAGTTCTCTTTTTAGTGCATTTTCTTCATTTTAAAATCGGTTGTTAAAATTCAAGATGTCTTGTAACAACCCCTCCTGCAATTAAGAGACAGACGTGTGTCTGGATGTTTTAGTAGGAGAAAAAAAAATCATTCAGCAAACAGCTGTGGTTCAGAAAGGAGCAATTCTGCGTTGTCCATGGTGCTGAATGTGATTTTCTGTAGGTATGGTAAGGCATTAATGGCTTGTCCAAAAATCCAAATAGAATTTGATTTTTACCAAGCACATGAGCCAGTCTGGAATGTATAATAGAAAACTGAATGCATATAGATTAAAAGTAGAGTGCATGTCACAGCATTAAAATATAACAATTTGATTCATTGTTTTCCCTCCATAATTGGAAATGTTTTAAGTAATACAAACAGATGTAATGTTTGATTCCCATCATTTAGGAAGATGTTTCTTCATGAGTCTTGGATGTTCAAATTTTTCTCTATTACTTAACTGATGAGATTTGTTTCTTAGCTCATTACTTACTAGTCAAATAAAGCATAAATTCAAAGACATTTTATTTATTGCAAAGGCATTTGTTGAAGACCTAATATGCACAATGTCTTGTATACTATATGTTTTTGCAATACATATTTAAGTGTTATAATATGTGTCAATATCATTTATTTTAAAAGTTTACTTTTGTGGAGAAGGCATTTGGCTGCAACATCCTTAACTATATGTACAACTACTTAGGCCTTGATGAATAAAGGGATATGAAATTCTGAGTGTGAGACTGGTCAGATTCTGACTTAAGCACTGAAGCAGAATGTGAAAGAGTCTTTTTTAAAACTTATGCTAGTGCCTTGCCCAATGCTAGATAATCCTATCAGGATCTAGGGACAGAGAAAGACAGGATGGAGAGAAAGATTTAAATCCAATTGAATGCCTGAAATTTGTCTACAAAAGGGCAGATATGGCATGTGGATGCTCCAGTGAGATCAAGTGGTTTAAGGAACGTTCGATGACTGTTGGTGCATTACCCATGGGTTCTTTCACTTTGAATTATTCTACTATGAAATACTCATCTGCTGGCTGCAGAGAGAGGATGACAGAGAGAAAAGAAACATCTTTGCCTTGTCTAAACTTTGTAGACAGACTGTCACACATAGGGCAGGCTGTCTTCTCTCATTTGTGTTAACAGGCCCTAAATCACTCTTTCAATTCACTGCCTCTTACTGTGGGGACCATAGTGCTTGGTTCTTCCAGTATGCCATAGTTACAGAGGGCTCCCATGAAATGTTTCAGTAGGGGCATTGAAGGATTTCAACAAGCCCTCCCCTCCCAGCTATTCTACTAACCATTACTTTCTGGACACATACATTCCACCAAACTAACGAAACTCAAAGTAGCATTGGCAGTAAAATTCTCATGAAATCTGAATGTGCTAATTAACATCTACCAGTGTTAATATGTGGAATTGACCTCTGTGAACCTTACAATTAACACTTTTCTCAAGAGGCTATTCTGAGTATGCATTTTCTTTGGACTTCACACCCTGACCTTTTGCTTGTATCTTATAGGCCCATTTTATGAGGTAATCCTTTTCCCTGTTGTTAAAAGCAAGTGCTCAAGTCACGGAGTTGCATATGAGCACTCCAAATCACCATATGCATGACTTACTCCAAAGATTCTCACTGGGTGAGATGTTGGCAAATTTTGCAGGGTGATTCCAGCTTGTACTGTACAAGTCATTCATTGCAGATAATTTACCAATTTTTGGTCTCCCAATATTAATTTCCTATTGAATAGTAGTAGCATAACTATGGAGAAGGCACCTGTATGCATTTCCAAATGCATTTGGGAGAGATTTACCACCTAAATTGACAGCCATTAATAGCCCTTTCTTGCAGTGAAACTACCTTGTGAAATAACTACAAGGGTTGTAATTAGAGCTCCAGTGTCCTGGATTCAATTCTTAGGTTGTCTTGGTCTCATGAGAGTCATATATAGAGGAGGTGAATTTAGAAAATATAAAGTCAGTACAAAGTACCCTCTGAATATTTAGATAGGTATGGTTATAATTTTTTTTCATTTGTTAAATGTGTATAATTGCATCTGTCTTACCTAGAGTTGGGATTATTTTTCTCTTCAGTTAGGTATATGTTTATGAGAAAACCACTATAAAATTCTAAGAACTATTACAAATAAAAATGTGTTAATTGATTTGATAAATTTTTAGAGTGTGTGCCAAAAGTATACTATTTTAATGCAGGAAATTTTTTTATGCTTTCTTTATTTTATTGTTTCAAATTTAAATCTCAAAAATTGGCTAAATACCTTTCCTAAGCTGTTTTTTCAAACCAGTTACCACCATAAGTCATTTAGAAGAAAGAAGTACTTTGTAATGGATCTGAATGGAGTTTATGGTATTACGTTCTTAATAGACAGTTATGCAGCCCTAGGCATGATCGACACAATTGGTGGGTGCTCTCTGGAGATCCCCTAAAGATTCAATAAGTGGAATAAATGGGCAATGGAGAATGAAGTGAGTTGGAAAAGTGCCTGGTTGACTTAATAAATACTAGAAAGGAAAGACAGGGCAGGATTTATCTTCCACAAATACATCTGTTTTACTTGGACTATATACACACATGCATGCATGTATTTGTGCACACATGCATG